GAGGAATGTTCTCTCCCTCTGCAAGTCCAACACACTACGGTGGTCTTTCTTTCCTTCATTCTTTCTCTCTTAGTTCCCACATATGAGTGAGTACATGCAGTATTTATCCCTCTGTGTTTTGCTTATTTCTGTCAACATAAGATGTTTTAATATCCCTCACTCTCCTAGAATGTAAACTCCATGAGGGCATGGATCTTCATGGCTTTCTAAGCTGACATACAGCAGGCATTACCTAGCATAGAGCAGGCACTCAACAGATAGTTATTGAATGAATGAATCAATCTATAAATCTACATAGTTTTAAAATACACATTAGGAAAAAGTCTCAATTAGGAGTAATAGAGTGGAAAGAACATTGCTTTAGATTTTCAGGATATTTGGGCTCTAGTCCCAGCTCTGCAATCAATCAGTCAGATGAACTTGTGAATTACTCAGCTATATAGGTCTTTGTTTCCTAGGTTGCAACTAACAGGATGAACTAGCCTAGTGNACAGCCACTGGAGCCAGAGCACCTCTGCTTTTAGCTGTTTTCTACCTTAAGCTCCTGAGTTAGGTTTTTGTTCAAAGGAAAACTCTAGTAAGTTGTTACAAAGTCTGAAAATCATTTTTAGATAAATTAAAGGTATTTAATTAGAGAAGAGACCAAGAATTTGGGTAGAATCTGAACAATATTTTAAATAAAACTCTATAAGCATATTACATACGTAGATTATAACTTGAGGTTTCAAGATACGCTTTTACATTACTTAAGTCTGGGATACTGAATATTTAGGTTTTCTAAATAAATTAAAACTGCTAAATTAGAGAAGAGAATAAGAAATAGGACAATACTTAATATTTTAAATTCAATTTCAACAAGCAATTTCAACAGACATATGTACATACCTCTTTATGTTTAGACAGATCCAGCCCAAACTGAGCTGGTCCTGCAGTCAATACTACTCTGCCAAAAAATGGGTGGGAAACAATTTGTACAGCTCGTGGAGGTAGCTGCTGCTCTTTCTGTTGCTGACTTGACAATTCGATCATCTCCTGCATAAACCTCAACCCATCTTCAGCGTCAATTGAACTAGCAGCCTATGAAAAAAAAAGATTCATCTTATCCTTCCTTTCTAGAAACTTTCACCAACTTTTTTGATTTCCTAAATATATAGCTCTACAGTCTTCTACCTCAAATTTCTCCTTTTAGTTTAGGTCCCTACAAATATTTATGGCCTTACTTGTCCTCAAAAA